ATATCAAAGACAGCCCAATCCGACACCTAGTGCAGTATCATAATCGAGTTTAGGGGTCAGGTGTAACTTTCCAGTTTTGCCCATCAATCACCAAGGTCTAGGGCAATACTAGAAATCTGGTCCAGTTCAAATATTCAACTAAACCCACACTGCATGTGCTTTGGGTCTCACCCTGACAGTTGAGACAGGCCACCCCAATACTTGGCAGCACACCAGTGTCAGCCTTGAAAGGATAAATCTCCCCAGACTTATCCAATGGCTGTGAACATTCTAAACTAACACGAGTCTCATTAAGTGTCCAGTTTAAGGGTCTTACACAGAAATATACCACACAACATGAATCAAACATGCACTTTATTTATTTCCACTAAATAACAAAAGTACATCAAATCTGATTGAAGCTAAGGGCATACAAAAACTGTCTAACAACACGATGCCTCATCCTTAACCCAACCCAACCCGATTTTTCCAAGTTGGATTCGAGCCTTCCCTCCAAGTTGTGTCCCTAGTCATTTATCTAGTTTTTTAGCCATGTTTCTTTTCTTTTCTTTTTTATTTTTTGAGTCCAAAAGGCAATTCTTCATTAAAAATGCTCAGATTACAAGAAATAAGTAGAAATATTAAGGAACTCAAGACTGAAAACCAACTAGATACCACCAAGCATCAAGAAAGAAACAACAACCTAGGTAAGTTGAGCACTAGGAGCATCAACAAGCAAGGTCTTTGTAATTGGCGTTAACAAAGAAATCACCAGTAAAATGAAGGTCATAATCCTTCAACAGAAACTACAAAACCATTGAAGACTCCCGTAACAATGAAGACACAACACAAACACTTAAACACCTACCAACAAACACAAAAGAGAAAACACACACATATACACAAAAGACCTAAACACACCTAAAAACCTTGACAAAAACAAGAACATTAATGGAATGGGCTTAAGCCCACACCCCCCACAGTTCCAAGCTCAGATCTTCTTGGTGCCCGTGGTGGCACCTTTGGACTTGCCACCTCAGCCCCTTCACAGTTTTGATTTGAGAATGGAGTACTTGGTTGTGGGTCTTTGAAACATTCTTTCTTCTTTAAATGGGCGTGTCCAATAGTAATCCCAACATTGGCACTTCCATGGGCGTCATGTTCAATTTCTTCCTCTTGCCTAGATTTTCTTTTCCAGCCCAGTCCATTGCCTTCTTTAATTTTGGGTTTAGTAGGGTCCACTACTTGTTTTACAACTAAAGGGGCTGGAACATTAAGAGCCTTAGAGATTTCTAAGTCTATTTCGATAATCTGCTCCATATCTTCTCCCAAATCTTCATTTAAGATTTCCAAATCAGAATTTAGGAGAGCCTTTCCTTTTATTTTTTTCTTTTTTTTAAATTTGAATCTTCATATCTCTCTTCAGTTCTAGTGTCCTTTCATTTGTACATCCCCCAAGATTATGCATTGATTTTCGGTTGAGGGAAAGACATGAATGGGGTTCTCCTTGTCTACGTCAGCATCGCCTGAGTCCGATCGCCGGCTGCTCACCTTTGCATGCCTATGCTTATCAGCTTTCTTTGAGTTTTGTTTTCCCCCTTGTCTTCTTGTTTCGCACCACAAATATTTTGTGAATCAAGGTTGGAGTTTACGAGCCTCCCCTATCTTGCAAGTGTCAATTGCATTGTTCACTCTTGCTTTGTATTCACATTTGTCCTGTATATGGCCCAATCTGCCACACAAATAGCAAAATTTGGAGAGCCTCTCGTACTGAAATTTAGCAGGTATAGACGTATAGTAGTATTGTTTAGAAATGTGTAGCGAGAGGATCAGACTGGTGGGCTGTAGATACTCATGGATACTTTGATCCAGATGAAATTACTCCATTTCTTTTCTTCCCCTTGTTGTGGTTCATAAGTCCTGCCAATAGCTTTTCCAAGTTCCATTCCCACCGCCAGAGTAAGGTTCTCTACTAGGAGTCCTCTTATGTGCACCCAAATATCAATGTCGTTAAGGAGGTAAGAGGAAGGGGCCATATCAAGTAGGCACTTCTCCATGATGATAAGATCTTTGTCAAACGTCCAAGGTCCATTGTCAACAATTGCATCTCTCTCCACTCTAGAGGGGGAATCTAATCAGGAAGGCATCCAGTTCAAACTCAGATATTGCATATGGGTTTATGTGCCGAGCGGCTTTTAAGCCTTTACATAAACCAAGAAGGCTGATCTCTTTATCAGTCAAAATCTTAATCACTAAGAAGGGTCTGTTTCATTGCTGAAAAAGGGATGGGAAAAGAGAAATATTCTTAAATGATTCATCTTTCCTATGTTTGTTTGGTGGTATACAGTGCTTTGGGATGAGAAATGAGGGGGACGCGGGATCCCAAAAACAAGTGAGCGGGATCGCACCATAACAGTGTGACCCCGGTAGGAAAAGAAAAGTTAAAGACATGTTTGAGAAAATTTATCGAGCTTTGTCAGAATAGGAGTTCGCAGTCTTGTCTCCTTTGTAAGTAGCACCCCAACAGTCATATCTCTGGTGGCTTCTCCAGACATCTCTTTGGAAGGTAAGACAAGATCCATGAACAACTTGATTAGGCGATTATATTTTACCCATTTTTGTTTTTTTTTCAGTCCATTATTCATTCTTTTCTATCCCCATGTTTTTCCCCTCATTGCTTGGAAGCTTAGTTTGTGTATTCATTGTCTCCTGTATGAGGTTTTGTTGGAACGAAACTGCATCATTCACGAACATGCATCTATGCCTTTTTTTTTCAATTTTTCCTCTCATTTTAACCCAACGGTGAGATCTGGTCACACTAGGGTTTTTATCATTCTTTGTGAATGCCCTATATGTGATTTCCTTTTGTAAAATGTCCAAACACGCATGGGTTTTTTAGATCTAACATTTTCACCTCATTTGTGCAGATTTGTGCCAAGAACGTATTTGTTCCCAAGCTTGAGGTAACACCCATACTCAATCTTCCATTGTTTCCCATGTATCTTCATTCTATTTTGGTTGTTCTTTTCTCTATTTTTGTTTTTATTCCCTCCATTCTCTACAAGATCAGTAATAATGTTTGCAAGGTTAAATATAATCTCTATTTTTTGCTTTTATTCCCTCTAATCTTTGCAAAATCAGTAATAATGCTTGCAAGGTTAAATATAACCTCTATTTTTTACTTTTATTCACTTTAATTTCTGCAAAATCAATAATAATGCTTGCACAGGTTAAACATAACCTCTGTTTTTGTTTTTATTCCTTCCAATCTCTACAAAATCAGTAATATTGTTTGCATGGGTTAAATTTAATCTCTATTTTTTTATTTCCTCCAGTAATAATGCTTGCACATGTTAAATATAATATTTGTTTTTGTTTGTATTTCCACCAATCTTTGCAAAATCTGTAATTTTTTTTGTGCTACAACACATTAGTCACCTACATTCATTTTCTTAACCTTAGGAAATTCATTTGATACCCTTCAAATAGCCTAGATCATGAGACCTGAACTAATAAATTGATTAGTTACTAGTTTTTCAGAAAACTATATAAGAATTTATATGTAGCTTTTACAGTATCAATTGATTAGTTATTAGTTTTTATAGTATCAAACCTTTTTGGTATCATTTCACACTCTTTGGCTTGTTAAGCCTACATAGAAGTAGGTAAATTGTGTAAGAATTTCTATGCATCTTACCTCAAKGCCAACTAAAATTTAGTTAGTTTCCTATTTTGATGTTAATACTTATTAAAGTATAGGTTAAATTCCGTATTTATTTACTTAACAAGGATTTATTGATGGAAGATCAACATGAGGAAAAATCAGATATAATAGAATGATTTTGATACTTGATGACATCTTCTATGCTTGATTATTGAATTTTATTACTAACTTTGTTATTATTCATATAAAATTTTCCATACCTAATTAACCAACATAATTTCATATGATAGAATCCCTTTGATCCCACTCTATTCCATTCCTATGTTCTACTCTAATCATCAAATAAGCAGTTTTAAACTGCATTGTCATACATCATATCCTTTATGTTGCAACAGGGATGTATATGAACATGTGGAAGAGGTTGGTCACTTCAAACATGAAAAATGACATTCAGTCAAAAATGACAATATGTTAGACACTAATCCCCTTTAATTTTTCTAGATTAGGCCTTCTACACACCATTATGGATAAGTAAAGTCAAAGTATCCTCAAACCTTCCCATGTAGCTTGTTAGTTCAAGAGCACCTACATCTTTAGATATTTCAGAAATAAAAAAAGAAAGTTAATAACACTGTATGATAAGCCATAGAATAGTATGCCAATAAGTTCAAAAGGATTATTTATGGAACATTCCCCTATAAAGGCTCTGTCACATGAATTAGCCATCAAAAGAGACAAAAAAGTGATCTGGATTTTATAGTTTATGTTGATCTATAAAACACAAGAAAACTTGGTGCCAAGGCACAAGATGAAAGTACTTCTCACCATCCAAACCTTGCCAAAGGAAATCTCTTTGGATTTTTTTTCTAGAGATTCCAGAACTGAAACAGGGGCTATGTAAAAGTGAAAATGCTAAACCATTGATAGACCCTCATTGGAAACACTAATCCAATTTGAAACTATAATGGATGAGGTTTGGTTAGAAAATCCCAATCTGAGTTGAAACTATATTGAGGTTGGGATGAAGCCTTAGGTAACCCAACACAATTCAAGTCTTTTTACCAAAAAAACAGAAAGAAAAAGAATGAGGGAAGGGGAATAGGGTGTTTTGTGTCCAAATCTGAGTTAGAAACCTATAAACTTTCAAAATTTCAGATTTATAAATCTACATGTATTCAAAATTTCAGATTAAAGAATGTTGAAATCAAATTTTAAGAAACTAGTACACACTTAAACTTATTCATCATTGATGATTTGTTTTTTTTTTTCTTTGACTACTTTTTCTAGCATGCAAACTATACTGACATTCTGGAATAAGCCCCCAATTTATTTATTTATTTATTGTCTATATATAAATGGACCAAAATTTGCTTCATGCAATTGTTGGGTTTGCAACTTCTACAGTTGCGGTTACATTTTCAATGTTGCAAGAATATGTGGATTATATTGATAAGGAACCATCAGTTAACCAGGATTTAGAACGGAGGGATTTATTGGAGAGACTATATGGACAAAAATAGATTGTTATAATTAATTGAGAATAGGAAAAGCAGCCTTTGCAAGGTAATGCAAGATTATTAGTGAGATAGGGAGACTATATGATACATTGAATTGCATGGTAGAAGAACAAGTGGCATGTTTCCTACACATATTGGCACACAATGTTAGGAATAGAACAATGGGCTTTCATTTCAGTTGATCTGGTGAGATTGTAAGTCATCATTTCAACACTGTATTGAATGCATTGTTGAGCTTGGAGGATAAGTACTTGATTCAACCAAGTGGTACTGAAACACCTCCAAAAATTAGAAATCGACCTAATTTTTTGTCATATTTCAAGGTAACATAATTCATAGTGTCTTCTTTATGACATATACACTCATAATAATGCATAATAAAATGCATATGTATAATGGCAAGATTTTGTTGGGGCAATTGATGTCTCACACCTCCCTATAAAAGTCCCTTCTGTTGATGTTGATAGGTTCTGAGATCGTAAATCTTACCCTACACAAAACATCCTTGTTGCATGTTCTTTCAATTTGTAGTTCACATATGTATTACCTGGTTGGGAGTTGCTGCATCAGACTCTTATATGCTTAACAATGCTCAGAGGAGGGAGCATAAATTAGAGGTCCCTTAAGGTATTAATAAACTCTCATCAAAGGCATTTGTATTTAATAGGTAAGAATGTACGTGTTTCCTAACTTCTTTATATTTTAAATAAATAAATATTATCTCGTAGACATAGGATTTTTATTAAAGACTAGATTCATTACACTATACCAAAACACACAATACCATCTAAAGGAATGGGGTGCGCATCAACCTGACAACCCAAAAGAACTGTTTAACCTTCGGCACTCATCACTTAAAAATGCCATTGAACGGATCTTTGGGGTATTGAAGAAATGCTTTCCAATTTTGGTATCTCAACAACAATATTTTTTTAAGTCTCAGGTGAAGATTGTGTCTACATGTTGTATCTTGCACAACCATGTCATGGGTGTGGATCCATATGACTTTATCATGCGTCAGTATGATTGAGAAGCAGTTGACACAACTCTCCCAACCATCTCAATGAGCTAGTAGAAATGAACAATCATGGGAAGGAATTTGTCTCAGAGACGAAATAACTACCTAAATGTGGGTTGATTATGTCTTGTATCGATCTAGGGCTCGACATTAATTTCTTCATGTTGTCTAACTCTTTCATTTTTTTTCTCTGTGTACTCTCCTTTTTAAAATGACTATGATGTTTGAGTTTAGTAATTACATATTGCTATTTATACAAAAATACTTTGTCTGACTTAGTGTTATGGATGTATATTGTTGAATTGCATTGTTCATTTGATTAGCATGAAATAGAAATGGACTCTTCTAGTTCTCAACCTGAAAACAAGAATGGAAAATTAAACATGAGGTAGACCCAAGATATGGATAATTTACTCATTGAGACACTTTTTTAGCAAGTCAACCTTGGAAACAAAGTTGACAAAAGTTTCAAAGCACATGCTATTAGCATGAAGTTTTCAATTGACTGTACCCAAGGACACATACGGAATAGGTTGAAAACAAACATATGAAACTTTGTCATATTAAAAAACCTTTTGAATCAAAGTGTTTTTGCATGGAATCATTCAACCAAGACAATAGATGCAATGCCTAATGTTTGGGCTACATATATTGAGGTAAAATAGATTAATAACACTCACTTTAAACACTTACTTTTCAAATTAGTATGAAATATGACTTATTATGAAACTCCCATGGTAAATGAGCAGGCACATCCAGAGGCAAAGCAGTTCAGACGAAAAAGCATTCCCAACTATGACCAATTGGCATTGGCTTGTGGTAATAATCAAGTGACTGGAAATGGTGTCTTCATAGCCAAGGAGCTAAACAAGCAAGATGCAATTTCCGCAATTGCCACTAATGCAACACCAAATGCTGAGCATGTGTTTGATGACATTGATGAGGCGGAGAATTTTGGAGATCCTAGCCTTCAAGCAAGGCCAGTGGAGGGAAGTAGTTCTGCAAAATGAAGAGTTTTAGGAAAACAAAAGTCATATGCTTCAATTGTTATTGAACAAGTACAAGATATTGCTACACATCTTGGAAAACCTGCATCTGTAGTTGAGAGAGGGTTTGGTTTATTCAGCAAGGAGAAAATGTATGTAGATGTTATGAGTTTAGAAGGATGTTTAGTGGAATTTCTAATGAAAGCATATGGCTTCTTAGCTTAATCTAAGAGTCAAGTTATGACATTTTATGGAGTGGAGCCACATCTGAGGAAGACATGGCTTCAAATGAAGTTGGGGCCTCCATATTGAAGGAAGGAATGAGAGACTTGAACTATTACAAGTAACAAACTCGGTATTAACTATATATGACAAAAACTTGTTTTGATGGTTGAGCTTTTGCATCCATTTTGTACATTTTGTTGGGATGCACTAGCAATTTGATGGTTGTCCCCTTTTTGCGCAATGGTCAATCTACTTTATTTTGATGATTATTAAACTATACTTGTGTTAAGTGGAATCTATGGTTATATTCTACATCAACGAATTTATCGATATATGGATGATTATGAGTGCATGGAATGGACAGGTTGAAGTAGTGGCATTGGATGAACTAATTACAAGTTAAAGATAACTTTCAGTTGATTTATTGATATATGGATGACTTTTTTTTATGAAATAGGTTATTGAATGCATGAACAGGTTTTTCATGGATTCATGAACAACTTCTTCAATGAATGAACAGGTCCAAATAATGGAGCACTTTTAACTCCTAGTATAACTTTTTTTATGAATGCATTAACAGGTTTTTTGATGAATGAACAAGCTTTTGGTGAATGATGAATGTATGAATAAGTTCTTTGATGAATGAACAAATCCAAATAAGGGATCATTTCTTTGATGATTGAACAATTTATTGAAATATTTTCTCGTATAAATTTTCTTGTAAAACAAACTCTAGAAAATGGATTTTCTTACAAAAATTTTCTCAGCAAACAAACGCACTGTGACTAACTGAGGAAATAATTTTTCCTTTTTCTCATCCCATCCTTTCCAAGGTTTTTAAAACCGACCCGGAGAACAAACCGGTCAGGGGTCCGAAAAACGGAACTGATCACCTGACCAGTTCCCAGTTTTTCCGATCCAACCAACCGGTCCGATCTGGTTTTAAAAACCATGATCCTTTCTCAACAATCAAACAGACCCTAAGGATCTGTTCCATTCTTAGGAATAAGAAACATGTTCTTTCTTTACTATGACTTCACTCTCTTCCGTTGATCCCAGTAATTATTCCAGATTTTTAACCAACAAAATTTCTATGCGTGAGGCCGCTGTCAATGCTTTAACCAACAAAATTTCGGTGATTTTTTAGCCATGTTTCCACTGATGTTCAGATTTATTATAAAATATTTATAGCTCAAGAACTTTTGGCAATCCAATTCTGACTTCAATGGTAAAAGCCGGTAAAGATCTTTTCAATCAGAAATATTTTTGTCACATTATCGCCTTTTGTAATACAGTTCCGCTGCTTTTACATGGAGACAAATGCATCCCTAAAATATTATTCCTTGAATAATCAAATTGTTTTTATTTTTTTAAACACACGAATCAGGAAAATAAGACTTCTAAGCGAAAGCTTTCATTAATGTCTTGCATAAATTCATCCTCATAAGAGTTCACCCAGCATCGAGTGTGAAGCTATGTATCAAGAACCAAGGAGAAGATGGGATAGAATTATATGGGAGTTTCATCCTCTTTTTCCGTCATTATATAAAGCAGCATACCCACTTACCCAGAAATATATTGACATTCCTTAGACAAGTAACAGTTCGGGCTTAGACTTCGGAGTCGGGCAAGGCTCGGGCCTTAGGCAGTGCGGCCCATTCTTAGAGTTGGGCTTGGGTTGAGCTTAAACCCAGCCCGGCCCAGCCTGCCCGACTTGTGTCCCTTAATTTTACGCATTTCTTTTTTTTTTTTTTTTAGCCAAATTTACGCATTTCAATTAATAAAAAATAGGCATGAAAATATTGAATTACATATTGTAGAGAAACATATTTACATTCCTAAGACAATAAGTAAGAATAAAATGTATATACCAATGTATTTGGAAGGAGGTAATTAACTTGCTGAACTAACCAACAAATGCAAAAATCATAGAACAGTGATCTTGATCCTTTTCTTTACAACATATATAGAAGGAGCCATTGTTTCTTTCACAACCAGGGATGGAAGCACGGAAAGTAAATAAATTGGTTCCTTCAGAAGAATATTTACAAGGGATTCCATCTCCAATGAAGAAGCTGACTCCTAAACATTGAAAGACTCGTGGAAATTAAATCTGAAAAGCTAAAACCGGAACAAGAGCAAGAAAAGTAAACTCTACCAGTCTCTAATCTTGAAAGGAGTTATCTTGATAACAAGACCAGGGAAGACATCATCTGGGTCATGGATATGTGGGTTCTCTTCAACTATGAAAGGGTCACCGCATTTTTCGCTTATGGTATGTAGGGTTTCTCCCTCTTCAACGACGTAAATCTCATCACAAGGTTTGCTGATCATCCTCAGATTCATTCGAACCAGCGACTCACTTTCGCTTGAATCACAACAACCCAGCAAGAGAAGAACCACCAGGACCAGAGAACAATACCAGGATATCCTCTCTGCTACTGATGCTGTTATTGTGGATGAGGAAGAAAATCCTGCCATGAATACTGAAGAACTCAGCTGCTTCTTTAATTGTTTGCTGCTTTGGGATTTCCAAACTTTTCCCCAAGTTGTGTTCAAGCTTTCTGGAAGTGGAGAAGAAGAAGGGGAGGGGAGCTTCTGATTTATTGAGAAATTCCAAAGAAGAGAACTAGGGTTCTTTTCTTGGTGGTTGGAGTGGGTGCATTTTTTGGCGGGAAGTTGAAATGGCTCCCTCAATGTGGTAGGTAAATGTCAAAGAAGGAGGAGAATACTATGAGGTAAAGTATTGATACTTGCTTCTTGGGTCTCAAGTCTCAACTGCTTTCTAATGTTGGCTTGGGTGACCTGCTGGGCTCCTAATATGTTGATAGTTTACTTGCTTTCTAAAGTTTTTCCAAGTAATATACTAACTTGATTGTCACGTCATATGACGAATGATCAAAACCTTGGTGACCCATAACTATGACCAAGATTTTTTTTTTCCTTGTAATTAATCCACCATAATCAATCACTTGTTCTTTTATGTGAGAAGTCGATAAATTAAATTCAACAAACTAAAATCTCTCCTGCATAAAATCCTTTGGCATTCGGCATGGCAACAAGGCTATATCTGATAGTTTGGTCATCATCTAAGACTTATCACTTACCCAACTATATATACACGGTTACAGAAAAATAATAAACCAAGATAAAAAATAAAGGTAGCGTGCAGGAGTCAATCAGGCTTTTGATATTCCACTCCCCAGTTAACCTCAGCCCTATAACCCATCTTTAATTAGAACTTCTAAATTAAAAATAAATAAATAATCAACAACAAACCATATAAGTAGTCAAATGGAATGTCCTGTATTTATAATCACTTAAGTGAAATGAAAAAAAAATAATAATTGTAAATAATCTAAACCGCCAAAAGAATATATGAAATTAATAATTTATGTGAGTATTAACGGCCCAATAAGGCCATTGTAGTTGGTAATCTATGACTTAATAAATTAAAGTAGATGCATTCATGCTATACTAATCCTATACAATTCCAATACTTAATTTGTTACATTATACTTATATAAACAATTATATATGGCTTTCAAAATAAAATTATACTTACACAATTTATATATATGTGTAGACTATGTTTGGTTTGATAGAAAATAAGAGAAAAATAAAAAGTGGAGAAAAGTTCTTAACAAATTTTGTAAGATTCATTAAGAACTTTTTCTCAACTTTCTATTTCTTTTTTATTTGATTTCAAACTATGATGTGTATTCACTAAAATTTGTTGAAGGTTAAAGCAAGATTTCAACCAGTGATGTTAAATGTCACATGATTTATTTATTTTTCGTTGATTCATATTTTATAAGATGTATGTACCTTCAAAATTTTAACAATGCTAAAAATATCAGTTATGATGTGTGTATTTTCACTGCTTTAGTATTCTTTGTTGCATAGTGTAGCTAATGCATCATAGATTTTGTCTTCTTATTCTATTAAAACAAAAACAACCTTGGTGACTAATTTCAGCCTCTCTCTTTCACACACAAAATTAAAAGAATAGGATAAATTTTTTAAACTATCTTTATCTTTATAGTTTAGTTAATTGACTAAATATACTCTTACTGTTTGATTATTGTGTAACGTTATTCCTACCATTTCTGACAATTAACTAATTGTCAACATCAGTGTTAATATTCTGTTAAAACTTGTAAACACCTGACATAATTTTCTTTTAAAACCCAATTTTACCCTCCATCCATCTTCATCTTCACCGTCTGTCTTCCTTTCAACCGTGGCAAGCTGAACTGTTGTGTTCTGTTTCAAACCAAGCTGTTGTCTTCCTTTCAACATCTCGTACACACGATTGGGGTGTTGCAGAAAAAACACGGCAATTCGAACTGTTGTGTTCTGTTGTTATTGTTTTTCACTGGTTTTGATTTTAGTTTATTTTTGCTATTTCGGTGATAGGTACCTTAAAAAGAACACAGGATTACAGTTTCAGGGTCAAATTCGATAGCTCTAGGTAAAAAAAAAAAAAAAAAAAAAAAAAAAAAACTTTATAAATCCTGTCTAACTCATGAAAAAATTTAAAATGATCAAATAGAACACAAGATGGGTGGACTCTAATCGTGCTCTAATGTCGAAAACCCAAAGACCTCCTCCACTCGAGTTGTAGGATAGGTTCAAAATATAAAAGAGGAAAAAGAAAGCAAATCAACCCGGAAACCTACGAACCTCAGTTTCGTAGATATTTAGGTGGATTGGTTCTTGCGATTGAAGTCGGTTAAAAGTTGATCCCGCCAGATACTGAACTTTCTCATAAAGCAAAGGTTACGAAATGCGTAACGATCAGCAACAATGGAATCAGAATCATTCTATTGGAACTTCAGAGGTTTTATTCTCAACCACGAAATCTCTCTTCSGGGAAGAAACAATAGAGACCAGAATCGAGGTCCAATGTGAAGAATCTAGATTAACGGACAGACCCTTTTAATTCTTCTCTCTGTGAATCAAAAAACACCATCGGAGGGACCCTTTTACAAGGTTCTTTTTGTACCTTTCCTTTCTTTACTGAGAAGCCATTCTCTCTACATGAAGCTACCTGCAATGGCCGTTCACTTAGCTTTATCTCACATCATCTCTATAAGGTCAAGCTTAGCCGTTAGGGAGTCGGAATCATCTAATATATTATTATATTATCAATTACTTCCCTCCTGCTCAAGATGTAATAAATAAAGAATTGGCTTAAAAAAAAAATGCAATAAAGAATTAATATGAGGGATATATGACTGTCTCCACCATGCTGATGTCTTAGATGATACTTTGCCTGAAGGAATTGGTCTTAGCTATTTGCTATCTACCTAAAAGGTTTCTTTTTTTTTTTTTTTGATAATAATACCAAAAAGGGGTTTTATTTGGGGTAATACCCAGAAGGGTTAACATCTTGACGAAGTCTCGTTTTACTTTCACGATGAGATGAAGATTTTATATTTGATGGCATCTCATCCCTAGCAAGTACCAGCACCATATAACACATCTGTAACAATATTATTATGACAAGTTTTTTGACTGGTTCTCGTCCTTCTTTACTATAAGTAGATTTTTTTTTAGATTCCATTCCAGAGTGCTAAATCTGCAAGCTTAGCCTGCAAAATTTCATAGTTCTACAGTATTTTAGGGTTCAGGGTTCTGTGTTAACAGCGAAATGTATTTTGGGACCGGATGTAGTAGGTACGGTAGGTAAGCATAAAGAGTGAATACGTAATAGCTGTGTGACACATATTACAATTAATGTATCTTTTATCCAAACATTTTTATTTCATTAGACATAAATTATTCATTATTTTATTAATTTTTTTTAAATAATTAAAAATAAAAAATAATGAAAAAAGAAAACATAAATGAGTCCCAACTCCCAATACATTTAGGTTTTCCTTTTTTATTATTTTTATTTTTAATTATTTTGACAAAGATAATAAAATAATGGATAATTTTTGTCTAACGAAAAAAAAATGTTTGGATGAAAGACACATTAACTGAGATATGTGTCACACAGCTATTACCTGTTCACTCATTGTACTTACCGAATGTGCCTACTACATCTGAACCCATCAAAATTGCAGTTGTATTGGGCTGAAATTAGAACTTCTATCAAGAAATTGTATTACATATTTGTCAAATTTGATATTTCTCTTCTTCTTTTTTCTTTTTTCTTTTTTCTTTTTTCTTTTTTCTTTTTTCTTTTTCTTTTTTTTTTTTTTTGCAGTCAACTGCAATACAAAATTGAATGATTGCTTCAATTAGCTATTCTATACTTGTTGGGATATTTAGAAAGGAAAGTGCCAATGGTCACATATTTGAAACCAAACCAATCCCTTCAGTTTTTTTTAATTAATTAGTGTCAAAGCAAAACCAAACCAACAAGTAATCACTGGTCAACTGGTCAATAGATCAACCAGTTGACCAGTTCGATTCAATTAATCACTGATTTTTCTTCAAGGTTAACAAAAACCAAATCAAGAAAAAAAAACAACTTTTGGGGGGAAAAACAATTAAACTGGAAATGAACAGATCAGTTTAATTATCATCCTTTTCGATTTGATTTCTCGGCTTCATGGTTTTCAGTTTTTCATAAGCATCCTAACCAAATAATGTTTGGAGGCATAAGTAAGTTTTTAATAATTATATTATCAATACATAATAATAAATGAAATTTCTAAAACTAACCTAAGACATAAAATTAAGTCCATGACAAACCATAATGTACAAGCTTTAATGGTATCAGATATGTTGAATTAAGTACAAATATGATTTCACTTATTCGAGGGATCACAGAAGCTCTCCAAAATACTTGATGCAAAATAGATACCAAGGAAGACAAATGTATTGATGAGATATGGACTATCATTGAGATGGATAATGATGTAACGGTTTCTGGTCACATATCGTTTTTTTGTGATGTGTCAATTTTTTGGTTAAGTACCTTATCATCTCATATGTTCCCCAGAGGCCTGTGATTCAAGGGCTGAAGTGGAGTTCCCTGGTGGCGAGTTGTCTGGTGACGAGCTACCTAGTGGCGAACTGCCTGGTGGTGAACTACCTTGATGAGTTGCCTGGTGGTGAACTACCTTGATGAGCTACCTGGTGGTGAGTTACCTTGATGAGCTGCCTGGTGGTAAGCTACCTTGATGAGTTTTGTTGCTCTTTTAGAGGCCTGCAAGGAACCAAATGTCAAAGGACCCGGGGTGGCTAAACCGGCGAAATCACTCCGATGCCTAAGTTAGCACTTAGTGGAGAGCTGAGAATGATATTAGAGAATGAGAGATCTAGAGAGCAGAGGTTACTCATCCTTTTCAGCATACCTTTGCCCCTGGGGTGTGAGGTCTTTATATACTGGAGTCCTCGTGGGTTAGGTGGAGCAGTTCTTGGATTCCCGTTGTGATGGGACATGTTTTCATGTTAGGTGGGGATAAAGTCACCAAGTGGTAAAGTTGCCCATTTTCGCCTGACTCGGGGAGTGGGTGAGTTAATATAGCCGTTACAAGTCACAATCCCGTAAAATGCGAGGTACGGTGGTGAGCTCCTCGGGGTTGTCAGGTTGGCGCCTGTGTCAGGCCGCCAGGTCAGTGCCTGGGCCAGGCCGCCAAGTCGCACCTGGGCCAGGCCGCCAGCTCGTGCCAGGGTCAGGTCGCGCCAGGGCCAGGCTGCCAGCTCGTGCCAGGGCCAAGCTGCTAGATCGTGCCAGGGCCAGGCCACCAAGTCGTGCCTGTGCCAAGCCACGCCTGTGCCAGGCCACGCCTGTGCCAGGCTACGCCTGATGGGACACCATCAACTTAGCAAAGGCAAGTTGTTGTCAAAGTGGTCTCGGGTGTCACCTAGTTGTTCTGAGGTGCCTGGTGTCACAATGTCATTGGAGGGCCAAATCCGCCATCATCAGATATGTTCATCTTCTTTCTTAAAGAGAATGAGATTAAGAGTAAAAAAGGTTTAGCGTAGAGCATTTATGTGTTCTTCAACATGAATGCTTTTGTTTTTCTTGTTTTTGAAAACACGCTACATCAGGGAACAATAAACACATTTTTTGGTGTGTTTTTTTCAAAACAAAGTGAAAGCATTTTCTGTTCAATTCAAAAAAATAACATCTATGTGAATATAAAGAATGATTCATGAAACATAACATCAAACCACCGAAGCAAAACATCCTTTTGAAATAAAAAAATCTATGATTTTAAGGTTTTACTTTAGATAATAAAAAATGCATTACACAACCAAGAATATGTTTTCTATGTTTTAGTTATAAGAATCAATGCTTTTTGTATGTTTTAGTTATAAGGATCAACTTTATTTCTATGTTTTAGTTATGGGTTCGACTATGATACATGAAAAACATTTTATTGGAAAAACTTGTAACCAATCAACCGATATTATAAAATTGGTAACTAATCAAGTGATGTTTATGAAAATTCACAAGGAAGTTTTGAATGGTCAAAGCCCTTTCAGTATCATGCCTTTCCAACAACATAGATTTTCCTTTTTAATTATTGGTGCAGTAGGGAAACAAACCACGTTCAGATAAGTTTTAAAGGAAAGAGCAAAAGACGAAATAAATAGGAAGAATAATTATTCATTGAATGATTAAGAGAAAATCAACCAAAACTATCATAGCTCTGCCCTAACTACTCTTTATATAGACTTACACTCTTAAACTTRGTAAATTCGAATTAAGATAGAAGTTCTACGTTGATGCTAACTTGGTAATTCGATCTAAGATATGAATTCCATACTGGTGCTAACTTGGTAATTCGATCTAAGGTAAGAATTCCATGTTGGCACTAACTTGGTAATTGTTTACTCGATTGGATCAATAACATTATCGCAACTTCATATGTCTTTGAACGGTCCCAACATGCATAGAACTTATTGGCCTTCTCATATACTACATCATCCCCCCCTATATGTATTAAGATGGGTATTTGAAAATCAACTTTTCAAATGTTTGTTCAGTTGGTCCAAATCCCGTACTACATCATCCTCCCCAGTTTAGGAAGCATCCGACCTCATATTCATGCTACCATCTGAGAGGGCCAACATATGATGTTGCACTTCTATTATGCTTCTTTGTTTCTAACCCTCTGATAGATAATTGGTGATGTAAATAAGGGCGTCAGTGGACTAGTTTTGGACTGGACCCCGTCCAATCCAAAATCATTTTGGATGGATTGGACGGACCAAAAAAAACATAGTATATTAGACCAATCTGATCCAAAATATTTATTAGATTGGACTGGACCTGGTCTGTCCGTAATAAATTTATATTGGATTTGGTTGGATTAAGCCAATATCCAATCCATTGATATAAGATAAGAATATAGGTGTTAATGGACCGGGTTTGGGTTGAAACCAATTTAAATTAAAATGAATTTAAACAAATTGGAGGGTCCAAACATTGAATTGGACTGATCCAAAATGGTCCAAATTATTGATTGGATTAGATTGGACCTGGTCCATTTGTAATGGACTCACACTGGATTGGATCGGATTGGACTTCCAATATGAATTGAAATATTTTTACCATATATCTTATTTTTGAAATATATACCTTGCATTTCACTCAATTGGTCCAAATCCCGTATTGCATCAGTTATACTAGTTGTGAACGGTGCAGAGTCCATAACCCATTTCAAGTTTAATCAAGCGACCAACTCACCAGGTGAGCTGTGTAGGGATCACCCATGTCATTATCTTTTTTTTTTTTGTCATTTTAATTAAAAATTTCAAACAATACATAGAGTAAAATATTTCAATTTTTGAATATCAAAAAACGCAATGTATACTACAGAGTCTAAACATAAATCATAATCTGAGAATTATGGGACAAATAAATCAGCCTCAGGTTTGGGACTGACCACAAAGAACTGGAAGAATTGGCAAATGGTATCTAGCTAATGGTTGAGAATCTAGACTTTCTTTTTCTACAGTTTCCAGGCTTGGATATCACAAGCTCATAAAGCTTCATGTTTTCATTAGTAGTTTCTTTACATACATAACAACTTGATCCACATCAACCGTCCATGCAACCAAAATGGGTGAGTAGTCTGACCATGGGTTGCTCGCATTCCATCTGCAACAAAATATCTACAGTTTCAATAAAAGAGAAATGCAAAACTGTCCAAGGCTTATGTTACCTTGGATATACCTTTTCAGTCCTTGATCCATTAGTGTATGTCCCACACAGATGCCCTGTGTTTCAACCCTCACAACCCCCTCCTTGTAGGTAAAGAGATCAGGCCTGACTAGGGCCACAAAACTTACTGGGTCATGGAGGAAAATACCTGATTTTAGGAGCTAAACGTATTATTCCATTGAAATAGCACAAGTAGGAAAGGAAACTCAGAACAATTTAGGATCATCAAGCTTGTAAAGAGAAAGATACCAAAAACACCATCAGATTTCACATGCCAATCTCTGTAAAATACGATCATGTCACTTAGCACTTTGGTATATCTTCCTCTTGAACCCCTCAACTCGGAGAGGTCTGCATCTGAAACAATCAAAGAGTCTTCATAATCGGGCTATTATACCTCATTATCTAGTATCTGTATATCTAAATCAAGTGAAAAGTAAGAGTTGCACCTGTTAGTTTAACTTGAGTGGTAATGTTTATGCCAATAACAACAATATTTGCCCCAGATGTGAACACAATATCAGCTGCTTCTGGATCACCATAGATCTGCATGTCAGAAGGGGAAAAAACGCTCATACTACAGTAAACTGTAGTGGAAATTATGATCCTTAGACTAGTCATTTGTTATTTACTGTAGTCAAAGTGTCTAGGTAACATAGACACCCAATATCTAGTTCCATTTGCTAAGATAAATTTGGAACAGTGGAGGAACTGGATACCCTCTTTTCTTAGGGTTCTTCTAACAAATGGGAACAAAAAGTTGTTTGTTGAGACACAAATAAAGGGAATACAAGTGTACACGAAAAGGCCACACCAGCCTTTAAAGAATGTAACTAACAGCCAACCACTAGAACAAACTAAATAACAAACTAGACAAGTGGACTAGACAAGTGGAGAGGCTGGTATAACAGAATTGTAGCAGCAGTATATAAATAAGGAAAGGAAGTTAGGAGGGGATATTCGATTTGGGAATACAATCTCTCTTTCTCTCTCTCTCTCTCTCTCTCTCTCTCAGGAGGCAGGCTCCCTCGAAAGAGTCCCTAAGTTAGGTAGTCCCTAACAAGTTGGTATCAAAGCCAAGATGCCAAGCACAAGGTCATCCGCAATGGAGAACAGAGTCGACAACATGGAAGGAGAAATGCAAAGAATATCGGCTGATGTCAAAGAAATCAAAGAAAGCTTTGCATCCTTGCTTGAACGACTGGCACAGGCACCACCTGCGCCGAATCAGGAAGAGCACAGTGACACCAGTCATCGAAGCGGATCAAGAACAGCAAGAATCAAGTTTCCCATCTTCGCAGGGGGAGATCCCACATCCTGGCTTCTGCGAACAAAAAGATACTTCGATTACCACGACACACAAGGACCTGATCGTGTTCCATTAGCTTTTCTGCACACCTGGAAGGAGAGGCGATCGTCTGGTACCAGTGGTACCAATGACGGCACCCAAGAGCCACATGGGCAGACTTCACCGACGCCTTAACCATGCGATTTGAAGTCTCGACTTTTGAGAACTATGATGAAAGCCTCGCTAAGCTATGACAAACTGGCTCCATCCAAGATTATCAGATGGCGTTCGAAAGATTAGCTGTGCGCGTGGAAGGCTGGCTAGAAAACGCGCTTGTCAGCGGTTTTGTTGGTGGACTCAGGGAAGAATTGTGGCTGGAAGTAAAAGCCATGCAGCCCACCACCGTTCTTGAAGCAGCAGCATTAGCTCGACTACATGAAGACAAACTGAATCAGGCAAGAAGGATTAATCGACCTCTGGGAGCTGCAACCAGACCGGGTATCTTGGGTAAACCGGAGCCCAGATCAAGAGTAGGAATCACAGGCAAGGACGCCAACTCTGGTTCAGGCCCCGGCTCAGCCAAGAGGTTAACCTGGGCTGAGATGCAAGCCCGACGGGAAAAGGGCCTTTGTTATGCATGTGGAGACAAATTCGGGCCGGGCCATCGCTATAAGATCCCTCAAGTT